CAAAAACAGCTTAGTCTTATTTTATTTTCAGAGATATCCACGTGGCTGGTCATTGTGAACCTTCTCTTGCAGTTTACATTTTCTTTATGCGGAGAGGCGAGCATCATATTACAGTCAGTTCGTCTGCCAAGTGGAAATGTAGAACTTCGGTGCATTGCAAGCGATGAAAAGATTGAAACGACTGCAATTCGTTTAGGTTGTGATCTGAAGATAAACAAAGTCTGCCGGAAAAACTGTACCCGCATCTGCCCTACTTCTGATGGTATGTGAAAAATGCCTTTTTGAATCACATGGATGGATAACTAAATGTGTGTTTTGCAGTGACTCCCTTACCAGAAAAAGAATAACCCAAATAAGGATTCATCGATGCGCTTATTAGTTCAATGTTGATTTTGAATTTGGGTGGGCACATGACATAGTCTTTGGAACCCTAAACTACAAATATAACAATTTAAAAAGAGAATAATTTAGCCGAGCTTCATAAGCAAGTTCCAAAATATGTTTCATTTGAACAATTCCACATTTCGAATCCTTATAATTTTCCTATACAGCCATTTGCGCACGTGAATTTTAATATTAGCATTTGGATCGAGACGGTTCTAGACCTCTTACGATTAAACTTTAAGGGAGGAAATTTTTAAGGGTACTAAATGCGTAGTTAACGACTTTTGGTGTCCATGAATACGTATCTTTACTTAAGCAGATTGAATGTCAATCAAGTCCATAACATTTTAATCATGGACAGTGCCAATTTTTGTGAGTTTTCAAGTTTCTTACCACTGATCGTTTGCCAAAATGTATTTCAAAACAATCTTGGAATAAAAGCAGAGAAAATAAAGGTTTCTCAGCTTAAATAGGACTCACACCATTCTTACACTAGCTGTCGCGACGCATGGGACGAATGGCCAATGAGAACTTTTTGTTCATAATGATTTTGCTACAACCAATCAGATAAAATTTGGGGCGATGTTTACGAGATTTTCTATGGCTTAAAAATGTTTCGCTTTAATCCTGAATTCTGGCAAGCTTAGAATCGTAAATAAGGGCAAATATCCTCCCATCGTTATGTCGTAAATTTTAATAAATCTTAATCTATTTTAACCTGGACAATAAATCTTCAAGTCACAGGATTAAGTTTCAAAAGCACTAGAGGACAAGGTAAAACCATGTTATTATTAGTATTATAATTACCATAAATTTTTAAGTCTAGACCGTCATTGTTTATTCGTGTTAAGAATTCCTTCAGTGAATAACGAAACTTGCAGACCATTCTGGAATCAATATCGCTATAACTACATTGCAATTATGGTCACACTCCTGATTGAACCCATGAGATATGAAATGTTTTGGAATATTTGTTCACACGTTATGAGATTAAAAGCGCGAGTTTTGCTAAAAATTAGGGAAACATATTTTTGATGACGGTTATGCTGGAAATAACAGGAAGTTGGTGACAGCCAAGAATGTGGGTCTTTGTAATACGCCCAGCCTACTTGATTTAACCTACATCAGATGATCCCATATTGGCCTGGTCCTTCCGTTTTTAAAGTGGCGGCTTAAGGAGAAGTTTCCCAGTAAAATGGTAGTCTCGACGATTCAGTGGTGTAAATAAGCACATGAATGTAATTCTGCAAGATAAATTCACTGCTCTAATGTTTATAAACATTTGGGTTGCGCTTTGTTGAGATGCCTAATATCGCGAGTTACCCAACAAGGAGTCGGTGGAAGGACAGAGAATTAAACGTTTATTCGCGGACTTGACGAAGACGTGGTTTCTTGTGTGGGGTTTGTGTGTGTGTGTATTTATACCTCGGATGTGTGAGTCATACATGTGCTAACATCGAGACCTAGGTGTGAGGTTAATCCAAGGTACATATACGTGTGAATGAAGGGGGAGTTAAGGATTTGCGCGGCTGACGCCATGCTGCGAAAAAGGGAAGCCCTGTGTCGGAGGCGAAGCGATCGGATTAAGAGGTTGAATAAACACGATTCACAACAGTTTCTTCCTCTTTTTATCTGTGTTTACACAATTACTGCAATATGTTTGGCTGAATATTCTCATACTTCGTGTCTCTTGAGCTGTAGAAACTGCAAATGTCCCTGAGGGCTGTGAGCAGATTCATTCAGGTGGAACATGGGGGAATCGATGTCGTATTTATAGTCATCGAAACAAACATACAAGTGGGCAGTGTAAATTTACTAAATCAATTATTTAATGCTTACGTGACGGAATAATGTGTGACTGAACCAAAAGTCATAATCTTATTTTGCACCAAGCAGGAACTCTAGATGATGAGTAATACACAAGGCTGTAAAATGAGATAAAAAAAACCAATAAAATACCTATTTATCCATGACTGGTAAAGAATATCCACGAACGTTCTGATGACTATAATCATTAACACACCTAAAGCAATTAAACTCCTAAGAATGGGCTTTTCAATTAATAAAACCACCGCAATACCAATAAGGTAACAAAAATAATTTCTTGGAGATCTGACGTCCCAGGTTCGTATGAATTGTACTACTTTTGTGATTCTAAGTGTTGCAAAATGTACACACAATAAAAACTTTCTAGATGATTTATTTTTTTTTAAATTGTGAGAAAAATGCGCTCTCTGGTATAATGTGGCTTCCTGTTATTCTAAAGCGAAAAAAATATTCAAAAGGTTTGAATAACGGTTTAAGGAACTTATGTGGACCTCGCTCCGCAAACTACTCGCCAGGCAAAAATGTTTTGCGTGGTTGTCTTTTTCAGTTCTAGAGGTAGTCTTGTGAGCAAGAGATCAAATCAATCGAATACCGAAAATAGTTTATTTATGTATCATTAACGCTCTGGTAGTTCAATGTGTCTATTTCATTAGTATCTACCAGATATCCACCCAATTAGAATTAACACAATGACTAACTTGCTGTTGTGGACCTCAGCATGTGGTCTCGATCCACGCCGGGACCACTGAGCTGAATCTGGTTCGATTAAACTATCCTGCTACCCTCGATGATGATGAAGACCGAACAGTATGCTTCAGATCTGAACCAAGTTGGTGTCGTGTGGCGTTTCCTAGTGCGAAACAGCTTGGGTCATAAATGTGCTAACATCAGGACCTAGGTGAGTGTAGTCACGCAAGGTGATAATTCCGGATGATGGTTCGCATGCTGTGAAAAGGGGGCAGTGCGTCGACGATCGGAGCGAACGGATCAACGAGCATTAATTAACGCTAGTGCCAGTGATGGGCATGTACAGAGATTCTTGGATTTAACTCAGATTTTGGATTTTGCTTAAACACAGAGAGAGGGCTATGTATGACATCAGTAATCGACTCGATGACCTAAGAAACAGCGACGTGAAAAGCTGGTCGCAAACGCACGGCTAATCACGAGACTAAGCGTCGTTTTTTTCATATGCAGCATTCTTGTCAAAATCACGTTGTCTTTCAGTAATAGCGAATACAAGTCTTTCGTAAAAATTCGATTTCATTTAAAATGTTTGCGTGGCAGTGAATAATTCGTAGTGAAAAATAAAACTTAAAAAGATTAATTGCAGACATAACAAGTGTTATCCACAGACGTTTAATGAAAAATCGCATAATGTGGTAATTTCCATGGCTGCCAGAATGCAGGTTATCCTGTTCCTGCTTCACTCACTGTCGCGCAAAAAGCGCGACAATGTTCAGAATCCTGGTGATTCCTTGAGGCCTTCTACACATGTCGCAAGCAAAGCGACACAGACCAGTCCTTTCACCTGGCTCTGGAGAAAGAAATTGCATTGCATCAAGTCAAGTGAGCATGGGGGCCACTTTAGTGGCAAATTGTCTCCGTCACCAACATGACGAATCCACTTTCCCGCCGGATTCCCGGTGTGATTTGGTCACAGTGCAAGTTTCCAGTACAGTAGCGCTTCGTGTAGTCGAAAAATGAACTGAGTACAAACACTTGCCTTGAGTTTGTAAGGTAGTTAAAATGTTGGTGCTAGTTTAAGGCATCTTGAAGTAAATAGGCTGCATACTGGAACATTATAACATAAAATGTGCCTGCTCTTGCAAAAAATAGTATACCTAACTATGGAAAGAAGGACGTACAAAAGACCAATCTTTATGATATCGAATTCAGCACTTTTTTACTAAAATTTGATGAAGTTTGAAAGAAATTATTTTACGATTGTAAGAGAAATAATTTTATAGCAACGCTCTGTACTTGAAATAAATAATGAATTGATGCCCCAGGAGACAAAATATAATCCGCCTTCATATTTTGGACAAATTACTATGCTTTAAGACTGTGTGAACGAAATTATTTGATCATATTATTAGGTAATAAGGTAACTTCGATTTGTTAAGGACAATCGATATTGGCGTTTGCATGCAATCGTCTTCATGACCTACATAATCAATTTTCAAATCACACAAAACTAAATCAACCTGATAACCCAAATGTCAATCTAAAACACTGTCGAATAAGCTGTCACACACGTCCTCGTTTTCAACGTGAGATCACATATGCCACAGGATTACGCCGACTTGTCAGAAGGTTTCTAAAATGTAGATGGTGAACAGAACTTTACGGGAACTTTTGAGTAAGCAAAATATTGCCAAATTTCTGATTACAAGTTAACCTAATTCTATGTCAATAATTGTCCAAATTCTTAGCTGTTTTCTTCGCTTACTTATAGTCGAAGTGGGACGGCCATTGTAACCCAAAGATATTTAGGTAGATCAGGGTTACTTTTTCAAGAAGTTCTTAGTTTGAAAAAAAGAACAGGTATTTCAGAAAGTTTAACCTATTCACTACAATCGCCTTTGTAGTTTAAGGTGCATACGATGTCTAGCACGGCTCAAATTTTATAAGGCGCTTCAAAGCTCACCGAATTCAAGTACATAGTTGTTCACTCAAATTCTTAGAATCTTTATTGAAGGATTTATTAGGTTAAAACAGGAGAAGGAGCAGGTCATATTTTGGATCAGTTTTGAGAATTGCTATTTGGTCATGCTATTGTAGGTCGTATGGACTGCTCGAGCACTCCTGACGACGGAATAGTCGACTGCCGGTACAGGCGCCTGTCTGAGTCAGAGGCAACAATCACGTATGAACTGTCGACAGCAGCTGCTAAGGCGAATTTCTGGTGCCTCTTCCGAGGTTCTAGTTCACATGTGTATGTCCATATGCCGCTATTGAAGAAGTTAACAAGAACTGGAGCCTTATCGCGACCCAAAAAACTCAAAACGTCGCAACAAATGAGGGATGCAGAGAACCCAAACTTAGATGGAAACGCTGCAAACCTACGTAAGTTCAAGACGCCGAAGTAAACTTAAACAGAAGGTAGTATTTCAAACCTGATGACCACCGCAGTCTACACTTTACCCTGGTATAATTACTGACACCATCACAAAGTAGCAAATGGAAACAAGATGAAAAGGGACATAACACTGCAATGCACATTCCATCGTCAAAATTAGAAAGCCCATTGAAGAATTGTCTCGCTCACTAGTTCATTAGCTGGCAAGCAGTGGCTTAAAAATTCTTACTTCAATTAATTTTTTCCATGTCTCACTGCTCTCTTTTTGCCGTTTAGGCGCGCTGAATCTGGGAATGCTCCTTCTATGTTTTGATTCATATTTAAGTATATTTTAAGAAAGCGAAAAGGGAAGTACACGTTTTTAAAGTTAATAAAGTCTAATGAGTCAAGATGCAGTTATAATACTCCATGATATATCCAAATAATCCTACACTACTTTAGTAACTCCAAAATTTGTATTCTCATGGAAAAAATATTATAGTAGTTTCACATTAGCACTACCATACAACCTTCCAGTTAACAGCTCGTTACAACCCGTAAAAAGAAGGAAAAGAGGCGACAGAGAACATAACTGTCCATTAGTGTCACAGCAGCCAAGTGTCCTTGTGTGCATACGAGCACGCGTTTGTAACAGGCGAATGATAACAGAAGCGAATACCAAAACGGGGAGTCATTGGTACACTCGGGCCGTCGTACCCGCATCACTCATGTTTGTCCACCACGATATTACCTATTTGGGTCAAGAATGAATTTAAAAAGTGCGGACAGTAGTTGCAAAGCGTACATGGCATTCTGATATTATATTAAACCTGTTTTAAGCTTGCATTCCTAAAATGGATATAGATATTTTTATGGCATGGAGTTGGTTAAAGGTGGCAGGATGAAGTTAACCTGTCAAATAATGCAAAAATAGAATGGCCTTAGAATCAGTAGAAAGAAAGGAAATTCGATCGACCAAGCATTCCAAAAAGTGTGCGCTAGACTCTTACAAAAGAAGTTCACAGTCGTCACCAACCTTTTGGCTGTTACCCTTTGTTTCATGTTCCACTACCATAAAATCGTTTTGCTCGTTATTTTGAACATCAAACGAACTATGCAGCATGAAGTTGATCTACATTTGTTTATCGATCTGCAATGTTTGATCAAACGTAAATTACACTTTTTCCCGAATTTTTGAAAACGTAAGTTGACATTTTGTCAAAATTAAACTATAAACCTCTGAGGCTTAAGTAGCAATCCAGTTGATTTTAAGTTTTTTTCTCATATTTAAGTCTCTATGATTTGTAGAGCGTAAAAGGAAACTTAAATGTGTACCGTTTAATACCTTAGAAATGCTGTTTACAACGGAGGTCGTCTTTATTGTTGCCATCTGCACAGTCGCGTCTTGTTTACTGAATTTAATTTTCTGCATTTGCTGCCAAACGTCGAGAAATTACCTGCGTAAGTTCAATCATACTACATAATTATGCCTTAACTTCAATTTAACATCATATCGCTCCATGATTTTATACTCCTTCATGTAATTTATGTTGGCATTTGCATTGGTGCATCCGAATTCGTGCAGTCTTTATATTTCGCTCACGCTGAAATTGAAAATAACTTTTGAACTCTCTTTTGATCATAGCTCGTAGTTAAATTGTTTGCTCTTAAAATAGACATACACTCCTCAGCAACAACGACCACAGACTTGGATTAAAAAAAGTACTACCGGCTTACGTTTGCGCATTTTTGATAACCCGGTGTACTTAAAAGTAGAAGCTTTTTTGAAATTGAGCGGAAGATGTAACGTTTAATCGGGGGTCAAAAAATCCAGCCAAAATAAACAAACTTCTTTGGAGTTAACATTTTCTTACAGAATGTAGTAGGCAGAATGAATATACTCTGTCTATTCGCAATTTCGTCAAAATCAGGTACAATTAACCAACCATTACCAAATTTAATCCACATGAATATCTGTCGGTATCTACGACCCATTTCACATGTCTTATAGCAGGCTGACATGCAGGAATTCTATAAAATACACATTATTTCAAAAGATAAATCAACGAAACTGTCCCTAAACTTCTGTGTCTGGTAGCAGTAACAGTTTTACTGCGTTTTCAAAATGATTCAAACTTCTAATTATGCTTGAAATGAAGGTTAATTCTTTAAATAAAACAAGCTATTTTTAATTATAGTTGAGGCTGAAGGTGTAAGAGATTAAATAACTTTGCATTTTTAAAATGCTACACATTAAAGGAGCTGGCATTGTTGAGAACTCCCCGTTGTTATTAGGGATAACAAGGTTGTTATTTACTAAGAGGACACTAGCATACACTTCTAAAGCTTTGTCACTTGATTATTACTTAGAAAAAAAGTATTAAAGGGTGTCGACAGCTATTCTGCACTAGCAGTTAATAAAACTTATCACAGAAGACCTCAGCGTAAAGGTATAAAAGAGGAAATCTGTCTTGAATTCAAATTCTGAAGAACAAACAATTTTAAATGCCGTCATCAACTTAAATAGAATGTTTTATTTTTATCAAAAAAAGATGGTTTAGTTTAATATCTGACTGCTCTAATCATCTACAAGATTTCAAGTAGGTTGTATTAACTGTTTTGGACATGATCTAATCGTGTGCTGCAACAGCAATCACAAATTTAAGCACACCTTAGCTGATCTGAATAACGCTTGTATATTTTTGAATATCCAGAAAAGAGTTATAGCAAGTAGAGAAAAACTCACGACAATCGTATTTCTAATATGAATTCCCAGACGTGGTGACAGACTTGTCGTGCGCAGCACCAAGCACAGAAAACCATTTATTTAAAAGAAAAAAATGTGTTTGCACTAATCGGCCTGCTCATGTGATTCACGGAATATAGATTCTGTAACTAGGGGTCTGGAGTGTTAGTGGCTTAGATGCATTATTAAGTGAATCTTTTAGACACAAATTAGAAGTAGTTTCAGTCAGAACCATGTCTGGCAATCGCTAATTAGTAAAAGAGAAATTCACCGGGCCATGTGGACTTTGAGATATGAGCACAAAATGGTTCGGATAGTGTGGCCCCCACAGTAAGCTGCTTTTAAATAGTTCTTGTTGGATTTAGACCGTTTGGCACTTGGTGGACCTCGGAGCCAAGTTACTGAGGCATGTCTCTGTGTGAAGAGCCTCGCAGAGACCTACAGACCCAAGCACCTGGCCGTCACGAGGGGACGCAGAACGCGTTGGGGCAACACGGTCTACCCCCACTACAAGCTTCCATTGACCGACCCCACACCGAGACGCAAACCTCTCGCCTTGATGTCCCACTTTCCCTCCTTTCACTCACCCCGGTCCCCCACCGACGAGGAGGTGGCAGAAGAGGTGATCTATGATGATGCACATCAGTCCAACATTTATCCAAGCGAAGGCAAATCATCGTCACAGCAGGTAAGGGCACCCGGAGCCCAAACCATCGCAAATACCAACCACGCGTCATCATTTATACATCATTCTCAATGGCATAAACATGATTATGGTCAAAACTAGCTGCCAGAGATATTTGACGTGTTTTTAGTCTTAGAATAAAAATAACTTTTTTATTTTAAGTTGTAGACAAGATGGAAAAGGCTTCAATGGCTCCACACCAGATTCTCACAGAAGCCAAAAAGATATAACTATGTAGCACAAATGGTAACAGGATTACAAACTCTGTCGCAGGCTCTTTGGAGTACCAACCTTGTATCTAAAAAGCCTCTGCTACGGTGTGAAATTTAAGATACCTGTGAGAATGGAATCCGTAGGCAATCGGTATAGCTATGAAAAACTGTGCTAAGCCATGGTCTGAGTACAATTCGTGATTGACCTGCATATTTGAATTTAGATCCCGGCCTATGATGGTTGCGTGCCTGAATTTCCCGGCTCGCACGGCACAGGACAAAAGTGCATTGTTGACAAGGACGGATTGGTTTACGTAGCCATGGGACGCGTCTCTCAGACATCTCAACAGTTACGAAGAACTTCCGCGGGTTCAAAAGGCACACTGACCACTTTCCTGCCGGACGCCATTCCTAAAATTACTGACCGACTTCACGGTTTAAGCAATTCGTCTCGTTTGGAATCACTTCCACTTCAAAATAAATCCCTGTCTTCGTGGAAACCAGGTGGAGAAACTAGTGATGAAATCCCAAAGGTAAAATGACCTTTTAATTTGTCCAACGGTTCCGATCTAAGGTAGCAATTCAATTTCTTTGACAGTTTAAATAGGATAAAAAATTATCAAACAGCACACTCACTAATATTTTAAGCCTAAAGAGTATATCTAATGGGATTAGGATGGAGAAGTTTGGTAATGAGGACTTTGATTTCTCGATTTTCCAAATTTATGTGGAGATTGCATGTATACATGACCTCAAATTGGAAAATAAGTTAACCTCGAATAATGATAATAATAATAGTAATAATAATAAGGCAAACAACTAGATTATTTCGGCTTAAATGAAAAGGCATGTTGCATGCTGTAGCCGCCTCAAATAGGCATAGCACGGGGCAATTTTAAGCATACACTTGGTCTTAAATGCCACGCTCGCCCGAATGAAAGCCCTAGACTGTTAGGAATACTATTTAAGTTTCCCAATACCGACAGCTCTGTAGATGAATTCTTTCAGGCCTGCATCCCAGGGCTCTTAATTCTATTTCAAATAAATGTGTCAGTACACAAGGCTATGATACATAAAATAAGGTTAAAAATTTTGCTTCGTAAATCAGAGTCACGACACAGTCACCCACTGACTCCAATCTCCTGTCTTGAATTACGAGTTCTGATACGACATAATGAATTTAAGCTGGAACGATTTTTTAAGAAAATATTTTTCGGTCAATGATTAATGGACTCCATGTTATCCCATCGATGGCAACACGAAAGAATTGGTATAAGGTTTCGAAGCATAGCCGTAAAACGACGCATTTGGGGCATGAAAAATGGTGACTTTGGGCGATGCATAGATGTCCAATACAGAGAAAAGTGATCTTTCGTACAGATGACAGTATACTATCTGGAACCCTTGTTTTTTTGAAGGGACTGATGCTAAATTAGGAATACGATTAAGGAGCGTTTTTACTGTGATTAGTTGTTAGCATTCAGGGTCCTTCTGACCAAAACCCCGAAATTGCCATGTTATTGTAATCTAATTTGGTTTCTCAATTTTTGGCTGAACAAACACACTTAATTGTCATAGTGGCACGCCAGTGAATCCAATGTGAAGGAGTATATTTTATCATCATCCCGAAATCTGAGTGTAAATTCAAACTTCTGCACACTATTTACTCATATGGATTATTCGATCTTGTTAGTTAGCTGCGCTATAATAAAGTATCATCGTACCATTAACCAAAGAAAGAAACATGCAGATTTTACTGGGTTCTGCAACCACATTTTGTCTGCCTCATTACTACTAGACGGTGATGTTTCTTACTATGAACCAGAACGAAGTTTGTGGTTCCTTTATAGGTGAGGCTACTGAATTTTTATGTTTTTCCTGCGATCGTAGGGTATTATTTCCGTTATTTCCAGCAGTTATCTGCCGACACTTCCAATCACTTAGCTCTCACGATCTAGGACTCCTTACATCAGAAACTTTTATTTAGCAGATTTGAAATAAGATTTTCAAATTGTGGTGCCTGTCCCTTTACACTTTAAGACACACGTACACTAAGATGTCAAATGCTGATTTCCGTAAACAATTCATGCATTAAAAAAGCAATCGTTTTTGAAAATGAGCTGCTTTGATAGTAGATAACAACTAATGAAGTGTCTTATATTGTAGGACTGATATACAGATACGCACATGCTTCCATGCAAATGTATGCATTTTTATTGATGTTGTATATGTTTTTGATTAAAATAAGCAGTTGCTTTGTGGCCTAATGGGCACATTTTGCAGCACGCAATCGACTTGCCTCCACCACACGGAAAAAATGCGCTGCTCATAGGAAATACAACTACTTGAAAACATTCAAGTTCTCTAAGATTCGCCTTAATTTCATCATTCCTCATCAGTTTTGAACATTTAACCTAAAAACTCTACGAAGTAAAGATATCGGTTTATCTTTAGTTGCATAAGCTATCATAATTATTACATTTTAGAATAAGAACCCTATTTTTAATGGTTCTGCGTTCCTTATCCCAATATAACTTTTAAATAAATGAACCCAATTGTGAATATCCTGATCTTTGCTTAACTGCGGTCAAATTTCCATACCTCTTTCATTCGATGGATTGAGCTCTAAACTTATTGCTTGACTCAGTCAATAACAGTACAGGCACATTTTTGTATAAGCTCTTGTAATGATTTTCAAAAAAGGCTCCTTGTAATGAGGCATGGTGGATTCGAAGCATAAAAACTCATTAAACTAAAAAAAAATCCGAAATCAACGAAAGTGACTAGATGGATTGTATTTGACAAATTCAAGCTAATAAAAATAACACAATAGTCCGTAATTAAGTCAAGTGTTAACCTAGGAAGTGATAGAAGACAGCCCAAATTTAGGTAGAACTCATTTCAATTTACAGTATATTTGACAAAGTAAATGATGCAATGAAAGAGGGTTCTTTATGTATTGACAATAATGACGCCTCTGTAAAAATATGTACACTGGGTAGATTGGATTCAGTTAAAATCTGCGCTTGGCAATAAACTGATTATTTATTGATGCTCTTTCTGCTATGAGCACAGTAGTGTCTTACTTTTTAGGATTTCTCATATTCTTCGACTCCCGTATGCAGACCAGAATTTTTCAAGCACCCGGCAACAGCTGAGGCCATCCTCCGTAGTCATAATTCATCAATCCCATTCGTAGATCAAAATAATGGTGATGAAAGAACTGACGATTCTTTTACAACTTCAAAGGATCTCCTAAGGCCAACATACGAAATTGCCATGAAGAGGTCGGATCCAAAACCTTTTTGATTTAACTTATTTTTTTCTTGCTGTAAAAAAATGGTCTTATAAATAAGATGCAGCATGATTGCAGACATTCATGTATTTAAAAGATAATTACAAAAAGAACATTTGAGTCATGTGTACTAAATTTTCGACATCATGTTAACTTGCTGTAGGCATTAAACTTAAAAACTTTTGATAAGCTGAGCAAATCTGACGATTTTGCACAAAAGTAAATAAATTACTTGACTTTTTTCGATTATTAAGGTTTTTACGAATAGGCTTTATCACTAAACGATCATTTGTCATAGAAAATTACTAATTTGTTGACATTAAGGACAACGGTACACTTAATTTGTCGTCAGGAAGAATGATAATCAAAAATAAAAATTGTTACTCAATACGTTTCATTGACTTCAAGTTGAGATCTTCCTATCAAGATCAATTTAGTAAGACAGTCTAGTTGCAACATTTGTGACACTCAACCGTAACCTCCAAACTACTAATTGAGTGAATGCCGACATTTAAAATGCAATTTTCAATTCCGTTGTGTCAAATATCATGGGAACACCGACTCTAATACGACCAAGGCAGTAATACAAGGGAGTGGTTTATATACATTAAAAAAAAATCTATATCAAGCTGAACATGATCGTTAAGAGCAAAATAATTTAGCGCAGAAAACTGTGGCGTGTGTGTGATTAGGCAGTAATTAGTAAATAGACAATTATTGGGTCAATATTGCTAGTGAATTTAACTTTAGAGAATAAAGAAGGTATATGAGTAAAAAGTGGATTAAAATTTTTATTCTATTTTGAAAAAAAGGTTCAAATATTGATTAAGCTTAGGAGCTAGACGAAAAAAACTATCAAAGTACTAAGTAATAATAATAATAATAATTTGAAGAGATGACGAATTGTGACAAGGGTTTTTATTGCCCTTAACCTGACATCAAACAAAACACATCACTGTCATTCTGATTCAAGTCACTCTGAAAATATGGCTAATTTGTACTCATTATCAAACAGGCAAAATTAGAATAGAAATAGAGGTGTTTCATGCAAAATTAAAAATTCAGGAATAAAGTTCCTTAGCAAAACCTGATCCCTAAGAATGATATTAAGTGGTGGCTTTTTAAATTTCCTGATTACTACCTGCAAAATCTGGCTGAAATTTGACTCTAATTTTGTGAGGGTTATGTTTCGATTTAAAAGAGATTGTTAAGAATATTTGTGCACCTAGTCCATTTAAAAAAACATCTTTTTTTTATATTTTGAACCAGAGCTCGACGAACAAAACCTAAAAGAGGCTGTAAATGGGAGTTGAAATTCAACAAGTAGCTATTCAAATATAGTTTAAAAGAGTGTTCAAAATAAGCTGCTGAAAAACACATAAGCAGCCAAAGTAAAAAAATTCTAAAAAAGTAGTTCTAAGTTTGAAAATTATCCGTTCCGAGCAAACGCAGGCAGCCTGAGACATAATATTGTTCACAAACTGTATACGCACCGCAAGTATAAGGATAATGGCTGTTCATTGTGGTCTCGGGTGGGTGTGATAAACCACCATTTCCAATCGTAAAAGGTAGAACATAAAATCCCATACGCAAAAATTCCGCGAATAATGTAAACGAGTTAATCAATTACGTCTGGAATTTACTCTGGAAATTGTATTTAAGTTCGACTAAAGTTTGTCCAAAGAATTAGAGGCGATATTAATTTCGTCAAATTGCAATTTCAAAAAAAGCAGATCGTGATGTTCTGAAAAATTAATTTTCATGCAATTTAGTTATTTTTTCCAGACAAGTTAGAAGAAACACACAGAAGTACATGCATTTGACGTGTAAATGTATTCATTTTACTGCGACATGTCTTCACAAGTTTTTATTCTAAAAAATTCAAATTACCATCTTTAATGCTTTATATATGAGGTTGGTTTGACAAATGGTAGTCTTATCTTTCTAGTCACCTTGAATGTACCAATGCTTAAGAGGGAGCGAATTTTAAAGGTGGATCAGACTCACACCATTTTACCGCAATAACCTGTTTGTCAAATTGGGAGTAGCGTGTTAGGATGGGCATTCATCGCCACGTCGGTGGTAGTTTGAAACAAGCCAACAAGAAACACAAAGGCGAAAAAAAGCATGTTACAGGTACGAAGACTCCTGGGAGACTCGGTGTTACAAATAAACACGTGTCTAAGAAAGCTAGGAGGCAACACGCAAAGCAACAGCGCTTGGTTAAGAACAAAAGGGTATATCATCATACTGCCTTTTACCCTGTAAATTTTAGGTATCTGTGGCTCAAAAACAGGTGGAACAACCGCTTATGTGCCTACTATTGCCATTATGTGATTTGGTGGACGTGACATTGGCGCAAGTGATGCTATCAAAAGGCGACCCCAACTCATTGATGCATGAACTTCCCAAAATACAACTGCAAAAAAATTCATATAAGGCTAGCTATCTTTACAATCCTGCTCTGAGGAAGGCCTTTTGCTTGGTTAATGGTAAATATAATGATTTGTTTGGGAGCCTTGATCTTGCACGGCTGTCGGACTGGATCATTTTTGTTCTCCCTGGCGAAATTTCAAAAATTGACCCTGATAGCTATTCAGAACTATTGTCAGTGCTTTACTCACAGGGTATGCCGCCCTCGGTATTTGTTGTAATGTCGAATCTCTCCGACAGGAATGAAATATTATCAGTGCTTCAGGTAGTTTTGGCGATCTGAGCTCGCCATTGAGATACACTTAACCTTACTCCTTCTTTTTAGTCAAAGTTCCCAGTCAGTGATGGGAAAATCCGCCTTCTCAATTCGAACCATGATGCTCAAAGCCTTCTTCGATTTTTTTCACAGTCTCAGAAAAAACCAGTACTTTCTTCCGCTAAAAGCTATTTGGTGACACCAAATGCTCTCCAAGTTGGTACTGCCGCTACACGTCTTCGTAGTGGTATGCTGGTGGAAGCCATTAATATCTATCCTCATGAGGAAAATGGTACGTGTAATTCACAACATTTAGCTGACCCTTTGTTTTCGGTCTTTTCAAAAACCTCCCAATCGAAGTTGGGTGTTAATTATTGTTTTCGTAGAAGGATTTTCGTTTTTAATCTCGTATCCCGAATTTGGAGAAGTAGTCCTTTTTGTTTGAGATGGCAAATATACCTGAATTGGCGGTGATTTCCATGCTACCAGACTGCGATTCAATTAACCATGCTGGATGCTGCGTTCAGGTCATGTCATTTTGAATCAACTGGGCCTTCTATTTTTTCCATTTAAGAGGGAGAGGTTTATCTGGGCTTAGAGGGACTTCTTCGTGGCTGGGATTTGCCACTCTTTGATGTCGCAACGTCTTTCACGGGTCAGCCACCCACCGGGTGCCCCTATGTGCACATCACTGGATGGGGTGATTTTCCTGTTCGAGCGGCCACCTGGACTGAGTACACACCAAGACCACGAGTCGCTCAAGCAGCCCCGCAGATCTTCGAATGGAGGGCCACGACAAATTTGAACGAGGGCATCGGAGAGTCACTTGCGGTTGCTTGGAACGAAATGAATTTGGACGACGACGGTGATGTGGTTGATACTGATGATAGCGAGTATTCGAACAAGGGTAACTTTCTGTGCCTTGTCCTATCCGTATTGGTGATAATTTGTTGTAAATTTTTTTATAGCTATCCTCAAATTCCTAGACACTATGGCTTACTCGAAACGTTTTCATCCGAGCCTACACTTACTTGACTAAATAATGAGTTGCAATAATTATTTAAATTCAAATTCCTTTATGTACGCTGCTTTGCAGTCGTGCTTTGGCCGATAATATTGTTAAAACGTCCTAAACATTGACTTTTCACCAGTCGTTTTACCCAAGTACATTCAACGCCTACATACAGCATTTGCATTGTCTGGTCCGAAACATGAAGGCACTTTCATACAGATGTCATACTTCTCGGTACTCAAACGTACTGTTTTTCATCACAAACTAGGCTCTGATTCTTTGTATTATAGGAAGGTGTGTACTCACTCGATCAGTCTGCTTTCGCACGATTCCCTTTCCTAGTTTTCGAAATATAGTTAACTCGCCACAAGGTCTGAGTTCTGCTCCAATTATATTTGTTTAGAGTCCTGTGTAGTGTAAACACATCGGGTTTAGCCTAATGTAAAATATTTTGTCAAGCTTTTCTTGTTCTTCACAGAAACAGCAGCAATGTCGATTGACGAAGAAGACGAGATCCAAGTTGGTGACGTCCCTTCAGACTCAGACGAAGAGTCAATCAATCTTGATGTGGGTGAGAGTGAAATCGGGTCAAGCAAAAGCACCCACTTTGAAAAGAATCATTCAATTTCAAAAAATTACGCCCACAAGCCTATGACTGTGGCTGAAAAAATCAAGGCTGCTAAAGTTGAAATTCAATTTCCTGATGAGGTGAGTTTTTCCACCTCGGAGTTTCGCTTTATCCTACATCGAATGTGTCTTAAAGATTTTCTATGACGATGAGTTACCGGTACGACTAGTTTGCTGATCACGACTTAAGCTAATATTCGATCCCGCTAATGTGAAGAACCATTTCTGTCGTTTTTCCATTTGTATAAAAATGAGTATATTTTAATCATACACCGGCTGCAATATTTGGGTTTCTTGTCGTATTCATTGCCAGTAATTTTTTATAGATAGAAACACCCTCCAATGTACCCGCGCGGGAGCGCTTTGCTAAATACAGAGGCTTACCAAGCTTCAGCAAATGTACCTGGCCAACTGAAAACGACTCTTCGCTCCCTTACGAGTACAGCAAAATCTTTAGGTAAAGCGGGTTTTCTATCTTGTACACTCTCTATTTATTTTCAATAATGCATATTATTTTACAGATTTGCAAATTATTCCCACAATCGACGGACAGTCATTAAACACACTTTAAGACAGCTGCGTCAACTCGTTACTGAAAAGTCAACCAAACCACTGTCTATCCCCTCTGGATCTATTGCGAGTCTCACTCTGGGACCCCTCCCTCAAGCTCTCGGGGACTCAATACTGGAGTTCCACACAAATCCACATGAACCCCGACCTCTTACCATATGGTCTCTGCTGCCTTATGAGCACTGCATGTCTGTCCTTCACTTCACCATGCAGAAAAGGCAGCCTGATTGGCGCGACATCATTGCGACGGGTGACGGAAGTGATGTCAAAAATGTTGGGTTTGATCCGGACCCAATTATGTCGAAGGAACCTATGCTTTTTCAGGTAAGTGGTCTGGGACTTCTCCGAAGTCCTTAATGCAATTGTAAAAATCCAGTTTTGTCTTGGTTAAAAAGCCTTGACCGAATTTTACCGCACATACCTTCCACCATGCATTCTTTCACATACTTCGAGGGGGTTATAGAAAAAGTCGTACTCTAACTTCGGTGATGAACCTTTGCCTTGTAGTCAATGTTGGATCCTTTTAAATTTCCCGGTTTCCTGATCCACGGAGACTCATGTTTTCCCCCATTCTCTGACACTAATTTTTTACTTCTTGTATATTGGTCTCAGAGCTGTTGAAAATTACCAAAATGTATACTTGTAAACAGCACCTGCATGAGCAACCGTGGATATACCCGCTGGAATCAAAAAAATTGCAAAAAAAACAATCCAGGACGTTAAATTCTTATTGCCGCTATCCGCTATTGGAGACTTTGAATAGTGTTTCAACAAAAGCAATGTAACAAGCCAAAGGGTTAGGCGGAAATAACATGACAAATGTTAAAATATTTTTATCGAAAAAAATGAACGTGGAGGGTTATGTGCATGTAGCTGTGAAGTGCACAAAGCACCATTTCACGCGTCTAAGTTTGTCCGTAAGCGCCTGCTATTTTCGTATAGGTGATTTGCATTTGTTCAAATGAGTCCCAATGTTGTCTTGCACATCTCGTCACCTCAATCTTTTAACGTGTATCAGTTTTCAAAAGGGCATAAATAACATACCACCATCAAAATGATATCTTGGTATTATTTTTGAACAGTAAAAAATAGATCTTCATTTTATTCAAGCACAAGAACTGTTTGGCAGTGTTACCCAAAGACGAACCCCTTTCTCACCGCACTGTAACCACTTATCGACTGCACGGCATCTGTCTCAAATCCCGTAATTTTATTCGCTTGGCGGTATTTAGAGCGCCTTCTTGTTAGTAATGTCGTATGCAAGAATTGCCTAACAGAATGAGGTTCAGAATTTTCAGTCGATTTTGTGCTATTGTCATTGTGGTGTAACGAAGCAATTACTTCAAATGCATCTTTTTACCCAAAAATCCGTTACTTCCATCTTAATAGTTGATAAGCGCACTGCTTCATTCGGAATATTGCAGACAGCATTAAATAGGGCTATCTAAAGTGCCGCCACCGTGTTTATTGAACCTTCAATTGGTGATTAGGAAATGTTTCAAGCAGTCTAATCCACGTCTAGGTGGGAATCCGTCGTTTCATAGCCTCACCAATCTATTCACAAGAAAGCAAGACAACAAGCAGAAATTCAAAGATGGAGCGCTTCTTCACAATCTCCTCCTCACCCATTGTCGCCACTGTTTACGCACCGGTTGTCTACGCCCCACAGACTGTCCTCCAATTTCCCATAGGTCCGTCACAGGTAAGCCTAAAGACATTCTTTTCACAATGCTTGCTAGTGAATGTTGTCATCCGTGAGTTTACTTGACGTGCGAATTCATGTCACGAAACGCCCCGAGATGCTAAAATTCTTGCCCTTGAAACAAAGTATGCTGTTTCTGGTTGCACGTGCAATACGCTACCATACTCTATTTTGGCAGCCATTCACCTCATTGACGTGGTTACGTTTTACGGGGAGACGTACTCTGCAAATAACAATCCAACTAAGCGGTTAACTCCGTGTTTTTCCATTTATTATCGCGAACTAGATCATGTGCTCGCACTTTTCACATTTTTGTGCTTTAAAATTCAATGCTTGGGTTATTTATGTCTTGCTTTTTCATAATGTGCTGGATTTATTGAAAATGATAACCACATCTGTTTGAAGCGAAATTAGTGCGTATGCATTTTAGAATGTAGGTGTTCGCGTTATGTTAGTGTATGGTGTTCGTCAGCGGAAGAATGTTGGAACAATTCAAATGGTCGATGAAGATTTAGGAATGCTTCTTTTATGGAATCGAAATTCATTAAATATAAAAGCCAATCGTCGTAGGTGTCATGAATGTTTTTAAAAGGCACGCATTTCTCAAGCAAACTGGCTACGAGCAGTAAAAGGGGCATTCTGGAGATTTCGACGGAATAAATACATTAATTATTTGATATTAATCCAACCGACTTGCTGTTTAGCCGACTTAGAAGAGGGTGACAAATGTGTTTCTGGCAAAGTACTTCTATATAGATGACAAAGGGGCAAATGAGTGGTCAGAGTTCAAAATTTTTATTAAAAGCTCAGTAACTAAGCCTAGAAATAATATTCACTTGATTGAGCCAGTAGGTTTCATGAAAATGCTTTTTGACTCATGGCGGCGAAGTTTGGTCTAACGGTTTGGCCATTTGTTCTATCCCTGTTTTGAAATCGTTGAGATAATAAATATTGATAAGGAAAAAATAGCGTCATTTTCGAAGCTTGACGCGGCATTCTGAATAGTCGGATTTGTTACTGTGTTGTAGGAAAGTTCCAAAGTGGTAGTATGCAGCTTGGTGGCCACTGGCTCCGTTCTTTCTGTTGATCCGACAAGAGCCATAGTCAAGCGCATCCTCCTCTCCGGCCACCCATACAAAATCAACAAACGATCTGCCATTGTCCGTTATATGTTCCACACCCCGGAGGACATCGACTACTTTAAGGTATATCCTACACTTTTCTTCTTAGTGCTAATGCCACGAGACCTATTTTGAAAGCTATGTAGAAACGTGCGTGTTTGTAGGTCGCTGTCTGATCATTTTGCTTGGCGCTGGTCGTCCAGTCATCTATTGAGCTTTAAGTAGTGGGGCGGTGTAAATATGTAACATGAAGCCAATCATGAGCAAATCGTCTATCTGTGCAAAAGCTCCGTCACAGATTACAATCTAGAGAACATTTCGTCATTTTATTATTGTTCATTTAGAGCAATTTACATAGTTGGCTTTCTCAACTAATCAGTTGATTGCTTAATCAGGTTCCATAATTAACTGCTAGCCACTTTGAGAAGTATCAATCGAGGTAATCTCGAAATTGTAAACTCGCGTTCGATAGACAAGGGAGCAAAAGTCCATTGATTAAAACACGGTATTAAGAAATTGATATTATTGGGTCTTTTTTTCGGTAGTTATATGTGCAGGGCACATCCCTCTTGGTAGGTCGAGACCAAGACACCCCAAGCCAAACTCACACGACGCCAAATCCCTCATCTTCCTTTTTTTCTTCTAGCCAATTCAAATGTATACAAAATCTGGCGCTGTGGGTCACATCAAGCAGTCGGTAGGCACTCACGGCCTAATGAAGTGTCTCTTTGACCGTCAACTGAACGCTTCTGACGTCGTCCTCATGCCCCTCTACAAGCGAGTTTTTCCCAAGGTGACGTTTGACCAACAGGTGACGCCGAAAATCGTAGACGTGGATCGTATCAGCTGGAGCAAAACCGATCTTGTAAATTCTCAGTCTATTCGGGGTATCCTTAAATCGAAGGATCACCAGGACACGCGAAAGCTCACCCACACAGCCATGCTCACACCAGATGAGGAAGCCCTGTTCGTTTAAGATTTTGACGACAAAAGCGCAGTGGTCCTGTGTTTTTGGTGACTATCGACTACCTTTTTTATAAGAATAACTTCGAATACCACAAAATCTATGCTTTGAAAAGGAAATGTGACCAAAAATAAGTACTGATTCTTTCAAGGGTCTATACTGGGTTTGAGTTCTGCTTATTGTCATGATAAGAAAGTCATCGTGTAACCTCGTAGGCATAGAATTGTCAACTATTCCTGTCAGCCATCTCCTTCTGCTGTATTTTGGAACGAAAACGCACTTGTCTATCCTAAGCTACCGCAGTAAAGCAATACATGTTGTAGTGCTTCGTGTACGCTAATTTGCAGGACTTGTGGATACACGCATATATTTCAAAAAAACAGCAAGCAAGGAAGTGGGATTTTGCGTATCCAATAAACGGGCCGTGCAGACGGCCTCACATCTATTAATTTATAAACATAAATGTAAGATGAAAATGGAAATTTGGAAAAAAAGGAACCTTATAGGGAGGTTACAACTGGAGACAGGATTATGGGTCAGGCGCATTAGTTTTACTTCTTGTTCTGACGGCGTCTGACGCTCCCGTTAGTTTGTCCTAAAAATGGACAGAACAGAAGAACGAGATGAAACGCTAGGTGTGGATTACTCAAAATGACGCAAAAGCTAACGGGATATGGGTGGTTTACTCCTAGTCGGGTCTCGCCGAAACTCACATATGAACAAGACCCAGGAAATCAAAAAGCGGTTTAGATGACTGGAGATTGTGTGGGCAACTTGAAAGTTTCGCAGACATTTACCAGAATTTGGATACTCAGGTGCTGCAGATACAAGCAAACACCAATTCCTTGTAGATGCAGTAACCAAAATTGCACTAAGCTATGAATAAATGCAATGTACAATACCGTTGGGTGAGGTGGCAGAGGTTTTAGATACGTTCACGCTGGATTTCGCACCACCATTGTACGTAGCACTAGATTTGCTTCCCTGGGCACGCCTGCTCGCCTTTGTAGATATCCAGTGCCAAACGAAGCCAATAACAAGAATGCAGACACCGACAACCATTACACCGAGGAATATCAACTCCACGTCCATTCCTTCACCATCTTCTAGAAACTGGAGAAATGTGAATTATAGCATTTGAAGGAAATTCGAATAATTACTTATGGCATTCAGTATCACTAATCACAAGTTTCTGTTGGTAGATAACAGTTTAGGGGCTTAAAAGTTAACCTGCGACAAATATGTGAAAATTAGCATCTATTGCAGGCTTTCTGAACACCAATCATGAGAATACAGACATCCAATAAGACATACAGCGATTGTTTCATTGAAGAGGGGGTGGGAATATGGTTTGCCAGTTTGGTCATGATACGTCAAAATAACAGCCAAGTCAAAGTGTTGTCCAGCCAGCTGTGCTGCCGGGGTAAAGGTATAAAAAAGAGTGGCCTAAAATGAAAGAAGTAAAAATAATTTATTTTTAAGTTACGAACTGATATCTGTGTTGATGACCTTTCAAGTTCTCTTTGCGACCTAACGAGAAATATAAAATGTGAACAGACAGAAGGTTCGGTGAGGAAATTAAGTATTCAGTGTCGTAGGATGACCAAAGTAACTCAATAATTAGTCTAGTTAAATTAGCGACAGTTCGAACCAAAAAACAACGCTAAGATGACCATTGCTGGCCACGAATCCCAAAACACATACTGCACTTGGGCTAAAGCTAATAAGACTTGCGGGTGAGTAGTGTAGCAGAAAGACCAGTTTTAAAAATAAGAGCTTAACCATTTTACGTGGCAAAACCATTGTGCGTGAAGGAAAAACTATGAAAATCAACCTGGTGTTTTGGTTCCAATGTGTTGTGTAATCGCTGAACAGTGAAGTTTTGGATGTGATAGCCAAAATACCGCGGATAATGGAGAGCAGCCTCAAGAGTATAAAGAGTATAGGCATTTGAGCTGATCTGTCTGTTCTCTAGCCACACAATAAAACTTGACTGCTTCCCTGCCACGAGAGAGATTTGACCTGCTGATTTATGCAGGTCTAATGGCGGATTCACAAAATTCAGAATGGCATTGATGTCAGAAGAACTGCCGAAGATGTCTTCCTGTTCAACCTATTTGAATAAAAAAAGGTGACATCTAGGCTTACGAACGTGCACATAGAAGGTTCATGAGGTCGAAAAAGAGAAAGACAAGCAATTCGCAAGACAGAAGAATCCACTTATAGAAAACAACTTAGTGTTGATTAGGTAGTGATACTCCGGCATAAAGTCATCAGGATATTGTTCGACAATAATTCAGGCTTAGACACAAAAGCAACACAATATGCCATTTATTGATGTTAGAGGTAAATCAGAGTTAGTACTGGTGACTTGCATCTATTTACTGAAGTTAAAAACTGGGAAGGATTGAAACCATTTTTGTACACTATTCTCAGAGAATTGAATAAATGTTAAATATCGGTTATAATTGACTGAAGGGCGCAAAAAAATGGCTACTACCGATATGGGTTAAATAATGCACTATAACGTAGTTGCTAACGCAGATTTAGATGTGGGCTAGCACGGGAACCATTTATGGACATACTGAGGAATCCTCACTGGTTGGTAGCTTTGACGGCGTAAGGAACTCTTCATCAGCTATTTCTACATCTTGACACTGAACTTGAGTACCTGAAATGGGGAAAGTTCCGAAGTTAGGAATGAATGCCTTCAGGTGCAAACGGAACAAATGGCTTGAGTAGTGCTCAAATATAAACATTTGCAGCTGTAACCTACTAATCAGAAGGACGAAAATCACGACCGAAAAAGAACAATGCCAAATTTACTCAGGGCACAAACCAGATAGGAAGGTAGGTCTACACTTCAGAAAAGATAACAGTATATTCTTATCTGGGCATGTATAAAAGAATACATAAAAGTTCTGAGTGGGTTAAAAAGCAATGGTTCCACTGAAGGTCGCCTCCAACTGAACAAGCAAGTATTTACTTTGGAAAAACCGCGGGCAATTAGGTAATTACGAAAACCAAGTTCACGGACACGCAGTAAGCGAAATAACGTCAAAAAACACAGGAAGATTAGATAGGCATTTCCTACAGCCATAAAAGCACACGCAACAGTCAAAATACTACACTATTCAAATAAGTCTAATCAACATTATGCACAGGATATACACTCACCAATTAGTAACACAACCGAGAACAAAGCGAAACGCAACATCATTTGTGGTTGCCGCGTTAAAAATAATGTACACGTCGAGCATTTTATAAAACATTTTTTTTAAATTCCTAGTTAATAATGAGAAATAAACTTATAATATTTTACGTTTTGAAAAAAAAACAAGGTTTTGTTTAAGATAACTAAGTCGAGGTAGCGCGCATCACAGTTTGCGCCGAAAATGTCGTATTCGTATATGTTTAAGTATATTATCATTGGTGATACAGGTCTGTTCTCCTAATATGTAATTTACTTGAATTAAAGGCGTCGGAAAGTCTTGCCTTCTTTTGCAATTTACCGACAAGCGCTTTCAACCTGTTCACGATCTTACAATTGGCGTTGAGTTTGGTGCACGAATGATTACTCTCGATGGAAAACAGATCAAACTTCAAATATGGGATACGGTAGGTTTTTATTCGAGGACACAATGCTTTTTAGGCTGGACAAGAGACTTTCCGGTCAATTACACGCTCCTACTACCGAGGGGCAGCTGGGGCTTTGCTTGTTTATGACATCACTCGGTACCCCCATTCTGTTAAGTGTTATTTTGCTTAGGCGTGATACTTTCCTACATTTGGCTCCTTGGTTGGAGGATGCAAAGCAGAATTCGAGTTCAAACATGGTCATAATGTTGATTGGCAACAAGTCAGATTTGGAAAGTCGTCGAAGTGTACGAAAAGAAGAAGGGGAAGCTTTCGCTCGTGAACACGGGCTTATTTTCTTGGAAACTTCTGCTAAAACAGCAGCAAATGTTGAAGAAGCTTTTATTGAAACTGCAAGGTCAATATACGAAAAAATTCAAGAAGGTGTTCTGGATTTGAACAACGAGGTATTATACAATTTACATTCATTGCTTGCATTTTTTAGGCCAACGGCATTAAAATTGGTCCAAGCAACTACCCTTCGGGAATTTCATCTTCAGGTTCAAATGCGCCCAGAGGATCATCGAGTGGTTGCTGTTAATGTTTTTGTACGCAATTTATTCCAAACAAATTGCTTGCATCCGAGTCTCCCCCAGCATTCCTTTTCCTACGAGTCTTTAACATGTCAAAATTACTCATAAATTTGTCTTTCTGGTCACATATACTAACTGAGAGTTGATTACTGCTTCGGTAAGTTAGTACATGGTCATTCGTTTGCATGCCTTTCCCCCACTGTTGTGTTTTTTGCACGTGGTCTTCTTTCTGAACTTCATTTACCGTTTTGTCCACGTCTGGTGCTCTTACTATCGCCATGTGAATATTTTGTACTTTTCTGTCCATCACGCCATAAACATTATTAATTTATCCTTACTGTTGTGGTATCTTCGGGTCACTTCGTTAGTACCACTAAGTTACTAATAGACATCCTTCAGAGTATTCGTCGTTAAATCGGCTTTATCGTGGTGTGTTTGAGTGCGGTTGTACATAATTACTTGGAGTCATACTTGCAGTCTTTTGAATCATGGTGGCCTTCCGTCGTAACCAAGAGCCTACGTTCTTCCAAATGAGAGAATCTATGTATACCCTCACACTTGGATTGTCCACATTTACTTCCCTCTAAGTTCATCGCTAATTTGAAGCATCCGAACTATCTATTATGTGTATGCGATTCTTAAATCAAAAATTCTAGCCTAATTCTGGTCGGTGAAGACAATGTTTTATGCTTTTTTAATTCCGCGTCCACCCACTAAGCACTTATAGAATGGTGTTTGTCGTTAATAAATATAATTTACTGCATCTTATTGTTCAACAGCGGCATGACAGAGTGGAACTTAGGACCCCTTAAATATATTTTGGTTTTAACTATTTAGTACCATTTTTCTATTATACTTGCTTAATAATTATTTCAGCGCTCGATTTAACTCCAGTAGGTTCTGTTTCGATTAAATCCCAGCGGTTTTCTTTTCGATGTTGTAAAACCAAGGTTCTTCAGTCTAGAAACTTCAGTATCAAACTAGTAAGTTTGGTTCGGAAAGGATGGAATTTTTAAGCCATACTTGAAGCAAATGTAACGAAGCCGACTACGATGACTTAGTTGGACGCATTATTTTGTGTCGTGTCCTAGGTCAGCTTAAGGTTTATTCCTCAAGTCCCTTGATTGACTCCCTTCGTGCGGCTGCGGTTTAGGGAACAGTTTCAGTTCAGGAGGTCACGGTGTGAGTCATTACCCCGGTTCTGGTTATTGGTGTAACCTGAAGGAAATAGTTACTTTACTGTTATTTTTCATTTCGTTTAAGCTGTATTACTTGACACAGTGGTTCTGGAAAATTGCGATGAGTGCTCACTGACGCCTTTTTTGAGAATTTTGACCTGGCCATGAATTTTTCTCCAAAGGTCTCAGTCGTCACAAGGTCACATTTCCATGTACATGTCAATGCGACCTTATCGGGGTAAACGGGACTTAACCACGAAGGTATATCTGGAATCTCCGCTAAACACAATCTTTTCAACAAGTAGCATTCTAATTTTGTCTCGGCATTAATAAAAGATAATTTGGTTTTTTAACCCGTTTCTGATCTCTTACCATCTATGTGTAGACCACAGCTTGTCTAGGTTGCAGTGAAGCACCCATTTATTGTGTTCTAGAATCAACCTCCTCAACAACACTTGAAACGCTTCTTTGAGCTCTGGTTAGGTAAATGTTAAGTTGGGTTTGAATAATCAATCGAAACACGCTGACGTCATCATGCCAGTCCTAATGCATAGATCTTACTTGCTTGTACCGTGTGCGCATACATTCTCAAGTTTGCGTATATGCCAGCATAATGTATCACTGATTCTCCTGCACACTCATCAGCCAACACATTTAATCACATTTGGCATTGTTTTCGGTTGCTTAATCTTGTCTTGGAAAGCTCCAAAGTTGATGCCTTGGAATTTTCTGCATTTCTTTTCCTCTATTTGCATAGAGGCTGTGAATATGGACCAAACAAATTTCCTCAGTTGACAACTGATTTTTTATTTTACGTAGTAGCCTAAAAATAACTTCTGCACTTATCATTATTCGAGCTATCAACCAGACTCCATTCTCCAACAAAACAGACAGTTGAACTTCAGATATTCCGGTGATCCGTTAATTAGGTTGCAGGTTCTAGAGGTATTAAGCATTCAGTTGATAAGTAAAGTAGTTTGGTCGCTGTTTGCCTGTCTTGAGTAGTGATATTACTCATTGACTGATCCTTAAAGTGATACCTGATTACTCAAAGCCTATAAAAACATGAGCTAATGTACTTTTCAGATTTGTAGCATACTTGGGGTGCTGGGGCCATTCTAAAAGTGAGAAGTCGATTTAGTCTTGGAGGAGCTGTTGTAATCAATCTACATAAGTATAGCTGCAGAACCGTTATTGACTACCTCAAAGTATTACCAACGGATGTGCTTAGTTAATCAAAAATACCTGTTAATGCCCTAGGACTGTAAAATCGCCAACGTCTACTAATTTGAGGCTCAACTTTATCTAATTTTTTTTGCCTTATATGCCACAGTTCATGATTCTTTAGAGATATATGGATTCAAATTCCATGTGTTTAAATGTCAGAGCAAACCACGAGACTCGCCTTATGAATTATTCTGGGTATTCAAGGCTAGAGTAGACGCACTTATCCACAATGCAGTTCCGTATTTGGTGGAGAGCTCATGATGCACATTAACAAAATGTGTAAGGAATGATATAATTGTACTTGAACTACCTTGAAATACCGTTACTCGGCAGCCCATAACGCCCAAGAGGAAAGAACATACAGAGCAGATAAATGTGTTTATGGCAGCCATGGACATTTTTTATAGATCAAGACGACTACCTGATTGTGGAAGTCAATGTAAGTAAAATATAAGCCACAAGCCTGAGGTAAACTTGTTCGAAGGACTCTTCAGGTGGCAGTTCATTGTAATGTATCGGGTTTGTCTTTAGGTCAGTGGACCCTGAAAATTCAAATCAAATAAGTCGTGATTTAAATCGGATTGATTCGCTTCGGTCAAAGTACTGAGACCAATCTAACTGAAATAATTCGTCTGGACCTAACGGGCATCACTCATAAATAATCATATGGAAATCAAGTAATGCCTCGTAAAGTAACTTGTGTTCCTTAATTTAGTTTTGGAGAGGTATGAAGACGTTTCCAGCTGGGTGAATTCAAATAATCTGGCAATTATTCGCCACCCTGTAGTTAGGTATAGTGGAAGTCAACCTTCGATTCAGTTTATGTGGGTGTAGGAGGTCGTTGATTTTGTCCATAAAGATGCTTTGAATGTTTGAGATTAACCACTGCACCTGATTTGCGAATTTGGAACTTATCACACTCGAAAGTCACAATGGCATCAATTTAGTCATTTTCCATGCCAAAATGAGCTAATGTTTCTGGATGCTGTCGGAGGATGTCCAGAGTGGGAAGTTAGTGATGCCTCTGTTTAAGGAAAGGAGAGGACGAACGGAAAATACCATCTGTGGCTTGGTTATTGGAGACGATGAGGAACAGAAGTATTCTCTTCCTGGTTGTGCTTCACAGCAAAGTAAATTTCTATCAGATTGCAGTGTCCTGTCACAGATTAAATAAATAGGGTATCTTGGATCTCGGTAAGTTGCATATTTTAAGCTATGAAGGACTTGATACTTGACCGCTAATCTGTACTTCTCATTAGAAATTCATGCTATTTTAAATCGTCGAATATTCTAGAAATATTATCATCAAACCGCTAATTTCCTTTCTTGGGAATTGTTTTAATTTAGGCCCCTAAACCCAGTTGTCGCATACTTGGACACCTTGGCACCACATCCCCTCTGCATCTTCATCCAACTCTCCGTCCCCGAGGTACCATTGCTCGCGCGGACACGTCTAAAAATGCGTCCGTGCATTCATTTATGCTCCAGCTAATTAGCATCTACCCTAAGCCACGTCTCTTTTCTTTCCGTCTGCGACCGATTAGAATACACGACCTTATTTTCACGTGGGCTCAAAAGAAACGCGTGAGGACTGTCCGACGAGCGTTTCAGTAAGCCTCACATTTCCAGTCTTTTTCTTCTGGATCGTTCATGCCACCACATCTTCAACTTTGCCTTCTATCCTAGAATTGTTACATGGGACAGATTTGATAAAATTTATGTCGCCAAAAATAATATATGCTGATTTTGTTGACCAGCTAGCATTGTTCTAAGGTAGCAGATTTGGAATCCGTAATTATAATAATGTTGAAGCATCAATGCAGTATTTGCTAACCATGGTAAAGCTCGAAATATCGTCAGAACCAGTCTACTTGACCCTTCTGCATCTAATCCCCTGTCTTTTGGTTTCCAATTTCAAAAAAACTCAAATGAAAAAAGATGAAACCACGGTTTTAAATCTACGAATGTCTTTTTTAATAATGGAACTTTTTTGTACGTCCAGTGTGCAGACGTAGGGTTCGACCAAAAATCATTCGTAACTCTTAGACCTCAAGCCTAAGAGCCATCTTAATGCGATCGGTTTCAAAATCTGTTGTGTGGTTCAATTATTTATTGAAAAATGTAATGTGAGGTCTCCGTGAGCAATTCAGGGCACAAGTTTATCTGGCCTTTGGATTGCGCATCACGTGTTTATCAATCAATACACACCGTTGCAATGGGAACCGCGAATTCTCGACCAGTCTGCAAACGTACAATGGCTAATTCATGTGGTGCTCTAGCCTCAAAAAAAAGGAAGACTGTGCGTAAAAAAAAGTCGGCAAAGTCCAAAATTGCTTCAAAAAAACCAAAGAGAACTCCAGGTCCCTACGCGCTTTTTCTTCAATCAATGAAGTGTAATTATAAAGGGGACATAAAAGCGTTCTCAAGGCTGGTCTCTTCAAAGTGGCGGGAATTGGGTGTCACTGGACAGGCAAAGTTCAAGGCGAAATTTGAAGCCCTGCAGGCGAGGTCAAAGGGATCCTGCAGCCAGTCCAAAAACTCACCTTATCTTAAGTTTGTTAATGCAGCTTATACTTGCCTTCGACGGGAACATCCTGACTGGT